GCCCGTCCTGCCGCCCGGCGCGCTCCGCGTCGCGTGGTCGCTCGTCTCGGGGTTCGCGCGCTCGCAGCCTTCCTGGGTGTTCTCGCCCCCTCCTCTCCTCCAGTCGTCGCTCATCTCGAAAGGCGCTTTGGGGATCAGTCCTTCGGCCGCTCGTTTCCTCCAGGGGAGGACGCCGCGCGCACATCGCCTCCTCCGCGCTCGCTCGTTTCGTGGGTTTCTTTTTTCTACCGAATCGTTTGACGACGAAAGACTTTAATTCCAGAGTGTTCCTCCTGATGCCCTGCCCATCTGGGCACGGCTTTCTGAGAGGGCCGCAGGGACCGGTCCACTCTGTGCCAGGGTTCCTCGGACACGTCCCCTGGGGCTGCGTTGTGCCCCGTCCGCATTTATTTTGCGAGTTGTCGCGGGAAGATGCGGGGGCATCCCGGGCACCAGGCCTGTCCTGCTGGTCTCACGTGGCCTTCGTGGGCCTGGCCCATCATCAGGTGCATGGCCGTCCCCGCACCCCAACCGGGTGTCCCCTGGGCACCCGCGGCACCCACTGTCCCTCCAGCCATGTGACCTTCTCCTGCTTTCCCCTTAAGTTTCCAGATTGCGTCTTCTCTCTCTAAAGAGCTCTGTGCCCTGGTCTTCGGGGTCAACACGTTCCTTGCCACTGTCCTGAAGACCGCCATCACCCTCGTGGTTTCCGACAAGCGGGGCCTGGGCCTCTCGGTGCACTCACAGGTGAGTCCCGTGTCGGGCGATTTCCAGGGAGGGCGGCGTCTGGACCAGGGCCTCCGGGTGCCCGCCCGACCAGCAGCGTCACCCTCTGTGGGGCCCAGAGCACAGACCTACCGAGGGCGGGGGCCACGCACGGGGGGCCGGGCGTCTCCGGCCCGATACACTGGACCCACCGAGCACAGGAGAGGAAACGAGGCCCCGAGCAGGGACGGGAGGCTCAGCGGGCACGGTTCCGGGGAGCCGCGATGGCCACCACCGTGCTGGCCGGCACTGCTCCTTCGGGGCCCAGATCTGCGCAGGGTGTGCCCGACCCCAGTGGGAACCGTGTGGCCTCCACATGTGGCCAGGTCCCCTTTGGAGGAGGCCTCTGGCTCCAGGCCTTCCACGGATCTGGACTCAGCCGTCCACCTGGCCCGGGAGGGGCCCCGGTTGTCCCTGCTGGGCAGCGGGGCTTCCAAGGGGCCCGCGGCTGGGAGGGAAGGGCTTGCAGCACCTCGCCCAGGGGCTGGGCCTCCCTCGCATGTCCTGGCCCCAGCCCCTCCCATGTGGCGACTCCACGTCGGGTGCATTGAGAACACGCGTCGGTTTTCTCCGGCTGGTTTTATTTCTGAGTCAAAGCGTAACTCCAGAAGTTTACGGACCTGACACGGGGTCCAGAACAGGCCTCCAGCTCCCCGTCCCTTCTCCTGTCGGGAGCTCCGTGCGTCCCTTTCACTCCATCCTGCGTGGTGACAGCGGGGACAGGTGTTCAGTCTCAGCGCGGGCAGAGCATAGCGGCCGGTGGCCGGGAGCTGGCCTGGGTGTGCTTGTTTCTTCGAGTAAGCTTTTCCTTTTCGGGTAACTGCTCACTCACATGCGGTGAGAGGCCGTAGCGATCCACACAGCCCGTTCCCGGTTCCCCACGCGCGTCCTGCAGTTCTCCGGTGCAGTGTCGTTGCCGGGATGTTGACCTTATAAGGTCAAGAGATAGAAGGCTCCCTCCCCCCAGGGCCCCTCGGCCTGCCCCCTCGCAGCCGCGCTACCTGACCGCCACCCCGTCCCCTCCCCAGCTCCGGGCAGCCACGGTCTGCCCTCCGCCTCTCTAACCTTTCACGTCTAGTGTGCCCCTTAGATGGGATGCTGCAGTACATAAACTTTGGGGCCTGGCTTTTTCTACCCAGCCTGGTTCCAGCGAGATCTGCCCAGGTCCTCGCGTGTGTCACCAGGTCACCTCTGCTCAGTGCTACGTGCTGTTCCATGTGGGCGGGCCGCAGCTGGCTTACACTCACCGCGGAGGGCCCTGGGGTGTGCCCAGTGCTCGGTGGTTACGGATAAACCTGCTGTAAAGTTTGTTGATAGGTTTTGTGTGAATGTAGGTTTTCATATCTCTGGATAAATGTCCAAAAGTGTAGCTGCCGAGTCACGTGGCAGGTGCGTGCTTCTTAAGAAGCTGTCGACCTGTTTTTCGCAGCACTGTACCATTTTACGTTCCCGCCAGCCGCGGGCGAGAGACCCGGTGCCTCCAGGCCCTCGCCGGCTTCTGGTGGCGTTTTTTAGCCATTCTGGTAGGTGTGCGGTGATGGCGCATTGTGGTTTTAATTTGCATTCCCCTGATGGAAGGTGATGTTTCTCTCCACGCGCTCATTTGCCATCTGTATATCCTCTTTGGTGAAATGTTCCTACACCGTTTTTTTAGCATGCCTTTTATTTCTGTTTCTGGCCTTGTGTGGCGCTGGCTAGAACTCTGTCTTCACCGTCTTTTTCCTTCTGCCGTGGGCTTATTTTGCTCGTCGTCTTCCGGGCTCGAGACGGGAGCCGAGATTAACAGTGTCGCGTGTGGTGCTGTACGCTTCCCCGTCAGCACTGCTTTAGCTGCATCCCGCAGATTTTGACATGTTGTATTTTCATTTTCATTCATTTCTTTGTATTTTTTGAAATCTCTGGAAGCTTTCTCTTTGACCATGACTTTTTCGAGGTGTGTTTCGTTTGCAAGCGTCTTGGTATTGTCCGGTTATCCTTGTTAGTGATTCTATTCTGATTCTGTTTTGTGATTAGAGGACGCAGCCTTATGTTATAAATCGTTTTAAGTTTGCCGAGGTTTGCTATGGCCCAGGGTGTGGTCTGTCTGGTTAGATGTTCCAGGGACACTTGTCGGGCGCGGTCGTCCGTCAGTGCTGACTCGTTCCTGTCGCTCGTTTCTTCTCCGTTGTGGGTTTTCCGTCCGGTTCTGGTGTCGAGAGAGGGGTGTTGGCGTCTCCACTATAACTGTGGATTTGTCTGTTTCTTCTCTCAGTTCTCTCACATTTTGCGTCATCTTTACAGCTCTTTAGTTCGTTGCATACAGATTTGGAATCGCTGTGTGTCTTGGGAGGTTGAGCCTTTTATTAGCATGTAATGTTCTTCTCTGTCTCTGGTCATTTTATCTCCAAATTCTCCTTTACTTGATATTAATATGGCCACTGCTGCTTTCCTGTGATTAATGTTCAAATGATAGAGCCTTCACCATCTTTTTGCTTTAACTTGATTGTACTATTATGTTTGAAGTGAGTTTCTCGTAGGCAGCATATAGTCATATTATTTTTTTAATTAAAAATTTTTAAATTATTTTAATTACTTTCAAGTATACAGTCCGTTGGTTAGACATCTGCATAGTTCATAAGACGATCCCAATCGCTCCCTCCCTCCGCTGGCCCTTCACCCGGCCGACATGCTAATGCCGACTGCATTCCCTGTGCCCTGCTCCCCGTCCCCATGACCACCCGTCAGCTACTAATTTGTGCCTCTTCAACCCTTCACCCCACTCTCTCAGCCCCCCCAACACCTCCTCTGTCCGTCACCAAAATGTCCACCATATTCGTGAGTCTGTTTTGATTAGTTTGTTCTTTTCGTTCCTCAGATTCCGCATATAAGTGAAATCATATAGGGTTTACCTTTCTCTGTCTGACTTAAGTACCTTCTAGGTCCATCAAGGCAACATCTTTTTCCACCCTCTTCCTTTTAGTCTGTGTGTGTCTTCATCTGAAGTGAGTCTCTCGTGGGCAGCACGTAGGGGTCTTTTTTTCGTATCCATTCAGCCACTCTCTCTTTCGGTTGGAGCACTTAATTCTTTTCCATTTGAGGTACTTATTGATAGGAATCTAGTTGTTATTCTTTATTCCTGTTTTTGATACATGTTTTTTCTTCTTAAAGAAGTCTCTCCAGCATTTCCTGTAATACTGGCTTGGTGGTGATAAATTCCTTTAGCTTCTTTTTGTCTGGAAAGCTCTTCATCTGTCCTTTGACTCTAAATGATAGCTTTGCTAGATAAAGTATTCTTCGTCCTAGCTCCTGGGTCTGCATCACATCAAATATTTTGTGCCAGGCCCTTCTGTCCTGCATAGTTTCTTCTGAGAAATCAGCTCCAGTCTTATGGGGCTCCTTGTAGGTAACTAACTGCTTTTCTCTTGCCGCTTTTAAGATTCTCTCTTTGGATTTAACCTTTGGCATTTTAATTATAATATGTCTTGGTGTGGAGCCTCTTTGGATTCCTGGTTTTTGGGATTCTGAGCTGCCTGGGGTTGTATGTCTCTTTATTTCACCAGGTGAGGGAGGTTTTCCATCATAATTTCTTCAAATAGCTTTTCAGCGTCTTATTTTCCTTCCGGCATACCGATGAGATGGATGTTTTTACCTTGAATAGTGTCCCATAGGCTCCTTAAATTATTATCATAGTCTTGGCTTATTTTTTCTTGCCATTCTGATCGAGTGCCCTTGGCTTTCTCGTCCTCTATGTAGGTCACTCGATCCTCTTCTTTATTCACTTTGCTTATTCTATTTAATACCCTTCTCATCTCAGATAACATGATCTTTATTTCAGGCTGGTTCCCTTTTTATGATTTCCGTTTGTTTTTACGTTCTCTGTCTCGTTGTTGCAGTTCTCACTGAATGTATCTCCACTTCCCCAAAGTTCATTGAGCATCTTTGTAGCCAGTGATTTGAACTCCGCATCTGTCAGATTGCTCGACTCCACTATTCCTGGATCTCTGCTCCGTTCTCTAATATGGTTTCTGCTTCTTTGTCTTCCCATTTGGGCTGCCTTTCTGAGTCTGTTTCTATGTACTAAGCAGAGCTCCCAGGTCTCCCGGTCTTATTAGTGTGGATTTGTGTAGTAGGCGTCCAGTGGCAGAGTCCTGAGAGGGGTTCAGCTGAAGGCCAAGTTTAGCCCCAGCCTGAGTCCCTCCGGGGCCACCTGTCAAGATCCAGCAAGCGATCCACAGATGCTGTGCTTATAGTTGCCTCAAAAGGCCACGCCAGAAACCGAAGCCAGCTGCCACCAGTGAGAGTCTGGGCGCTGCTCAGCAAGCAGCATCTGAGTCCTTGAGGACACACACCTGGATGTGACTTGGGTGGGGCTGTGAGCTGGGAGGCGGGGTTTCAGGGGATCCTCTGGGCGGAGCGGCCTGTTACCCGGTTTGATGACGTCTGGGGTATGGCGACACTGTGTCCCCTCACTGGTAGGGCGTGGGCTCAACAGGGAACAGTGCACACTGCCGATACTTCTGTACAGAGTGAGTCTCGCCTCGGCCCTCGCTCCGACAGTGTCCCCCTGTAAGTCCCTGGTGCCCCCTGCACGCAGCCGAACGGGCGCTGGTGCTCAGAGCGAGCAGGTCCGTCAGCGCGAAAGTCCGCTCGGGGCCGCGGCCCCTTTAAGAGGCGTCTGCAGCCACCGCTGCCTCCGTCCCACTGAGCCCCCGGGCACTGGGCAGCCCCGCGACCTCGCCCCCTCCTCCCCGCTGCCGTTGCCGGGCGCTTTCTCGGACTTCTCCCTAGGCGTGCGGCTCGTTCATCGCGATCCCAGGCGATCTCGCTGCTGCTCCAGCTTTGCTTCCGTCCAGCTTTGATTTGGTCGCCAGAGGGATGGACAGAGCCTCTGTGGCCTGCGCTGTCGTCTTCGCTCTCGAGTCGTGTCATTTGAATCTCCTCCGCCAGGCTCTGAGTTGGGGCGCTGCTCCGAGGCCGTGTGCGTCGTGTCGTCACTGACGTCTCAGAGCGGCTGCGCCATTTCGCTCTTCGTTTTCCTTTCGTTTTCTGTTTTTCGTTTCTGTTTTATTTTTTGTGCCTTCTTGTAGGTCGGTTGCACGTTCTTCAGGGTCTGATTTTGGTTTACCTGCTGTGCTTTTTCGGGCTTTCTGTGATGGCCTCGTGTGTCCGAGTGAAGTCGCGCGGGCTCCGTCGCGGCCCCGCCGCGGGCGTGGGCAGCAGCGCCGCGAGTCTTGCTCTGACCACCGGGCGTTTGGGAGGCGCGGGGAAGCCTTGCGTTTGCCCGCGGTTTCGCTCAAGGCTCCTTCCTGGGGCCTAAGGTCCCCTCTTCGTCACGGCTTCTCAGCCAGGGCCTCCGTTAGCCGTGACGTCAGGGCAGGTCCGCGCGTGACAGACTCTGCTCAGCTTTTTCCTCCGAGAATGTCGTGCTGTCCTTTGCGTTTCTGAAGGACGTTGTCGTTGGATGTCGGCTTCTGGACGGACAGTGTTTTCAGCCTGAGAAAAAATGTGCTGCTCCCCTGGGGCCTTCGTGGTTTGTGATGCAAATTCTCTGTCGTTGTTTTTCTCCTAGGGTGTCTTTTTTTGTGTGTGTGTGTGGCTATTTTCAAGATTTTGTTTTTAACTTTCAGAAGTTTGAATAGGGGGTGTCATGGGTGTTCTCGCTACATCCTGAGTGCAGGGCTGGGGCAGGACGTCGTGAAAGCTCAGGCTTTGTGCGGTCCCTGCCAGGTGAGCTGTCCAGCTCCCCCTGGGCCTCGAGCAGCACCACCCTGTGGGGCCTCACGCCTGGGTAAGGAGGGTGGCATCTGGCTGGAGCAGGGTGGTCTTGTCTGTCACTTCCTGTCCTTGGCTGTCCCTATCCTGGTTCTTTGGTGGAGAGAGCACTTTCGTTGGGCTTTTCTCCTGCATTTGTTGGCATTTCTGGGTTGCTGGCTTCTTTGGTTTCAAAACGCCTACAACAAAAAGGAAACAAAGCCCAGGACCTGTCACACGTCGCCGTGCTGTGCCGTGGGCTCCGGGTCCCTGGCTGGGCTGCCCCCGCTTCGGGGTGGCTTCCCTACGTGTGCTCGGTGGACCCAGGGTTTCAGCCCCACCGGGGAAGGGTGGGGAGACACCCGGGCGTGGAGTCCTGCACCGTCCCCTGCGGGTGTCCTAGGAGCGCCCAGGGTGCAGGTGCTGTAAGGGGCTCGGGGCGGCACTTGAGCCTGGTCTGGCCCATAGCCACCTGAGGGAACCCAGACGTCATGTCCCCCTGGCGGGCCTGGGCACCAGGGGGGACCTTCCACAGGCCGAGCACGCGTCCCTTCGGCTGACCGCTGTGTAGCTCCACCGGCCGCCAGGCGGCCCCTGGCACAGGCCCGCTGCCCACACGGACGTCTGCGAGCACCGTGCACACCGCGGTCGTGCGCCACACGCCGTGCACGGGGCCC